ATGCCAGTACCATGCTGTTTTTATTACTATACTTTTGTTGTATAACTTGAAGGGTAAGAGTCAATATTGTTATTTCCTGAGCTCTAGAGCTCAGTGGTAAAGCTCTTTCCTAGTGTGTGCTGGGTTATAATGCACACATACTCAGAGACATACATGTGCATGAACCAAAACCACCCCCAAATTATTGCCCTTATAGCCAGTTGAGGGTCTAGAGGTTGTAGAGGTAAAGTAAGAGAATGTATAGCCCACGTTCATGGCTGAGCTTGGGAGTCTGTGGTCAGCTGAGGATGCTCGGATGTGCTTCCTGTCATTGCTAAGAGATACGGGAGCACAGAAGTGGTTGTGTGATTCATGCAGTACTGAGCACATGGTACACTGAAAGGATACATGGGGTGCCTCTGTGGTTCTCTCTGGGTCTTAGATGGCTGTGCATAGTTGGCAGCATATGACATGGGCTGTTGTAAGATTGATGATGTCTTTATGTGTGTGAGAAACAGTGGGGACTCTGGTAGAACCAGAGGTGGAAGGAGCAGCGCTTTCTGGTACAGAGCCTTAATGGGGGTGTGGATAGGGGTATATGTGCTTTAGCAAGTGTTGTAAATTAATTATCAACCATAAGAAAAATAGTCTGCAGGAAACCAATTTAGGATCTGGGTGGGTGGGATGGATGGGGAAGTAGGAAGCACTGTGGTTTTTAGAAAGGAGGAAGTGGGCCCTACTCTAGTAGCTCCCCTGAGGGCAGGAATGAGATTTTCTCAGTCTCAGCATAGAGTCTAGCAGCTGTGAAATAGTTAGCTTATTCGAGCAGACTGAGGGAAGCCAGAGAGTTGAGCAGGGCCACAAACGGCCACAGCAATCTGGTGAAGATTCTTATATTTTCCCATGGGTAGAAGGAAGTTATGGAAAGCTCTACCAGTAGGTTGTGTAAAAAGATGCCACCAAGAAAGAGCAAGCCTTGGGACAAAGGTAACCACTGAGGTAAAACAGAAGAAGCTGAGAAGATGGGGTCTACAGAAATAGGAGACAGGGATCTTGAGTCTTTTTACCCTTAGTGGGACCGTACCTTGGCCATACTGAGACTCATGGACTGAAACCTTGCTGTCCTGTGGTCAGGGTTAGGGGTATCCCTTTAAGTAGTCACACTGCTTTTCTATAATACTAGGGTCCTCTCATGTGCCCTGTGGCCTTTAAGAGCAGGGTTGTGAAAAGAATCCAGGCCAGAAGCAGTCTTCCTGAAAGTCAGCTATTACCTTGTTGTGTGACCTTGGGTTAGTCAGCATGTCTTTCTTTGTCTTCATCTCTGCACAAGAAATTGGACCAAAAATCGCTGCCTCCCTCATCTGGGACTCCAGGGTATCCCTGAGTCTGAATTTCATTCAGTGGTCTATTCTATAGGACTGCTTATAAGGAGGCACAGAATGGAGAGGCAGCCTGTGCAGCTCCCATGGAGAATGATAGGCCACCCCTCTCTGAGAAGCAGCAGGGGAAATAGGACAGAAGCCCCACAGCACCCTGCTGCTCAGCTGCTGGCCTTCTGGGTAGGGCTTGCCCAGGCCAGCTCACCTGCTTTGAGGTGGTAAGATCCAGGAAGTAGATGGAGAGCCCTGGGACCCTGTGTGTGTCCATGGAGGTCTATGTGGCAGTGTAGTTGGACTTTTCTTTGGGATGCCAGCTCACAAATAATGACATGGAGACTTATTATGAATTATGAAAGGTTGGCCTGTAGCTTAGACTTTCCCCCACCTAGCTGTTATAACTTAATTAACCCATATGTTTTTATCTATGTTCTGCCATACCTTTCCTCAGTATGGCACACCTGACTTCTTCAGAGTCTTGCTGGTGTCCCCTGCGTACCTAGATCATCTCCCCTTCCTCTCTCTCCCCAGAAATCCTGCCTAGTCTCTCTTGCCTAGTTACTGACCATTCAACTCTTTATTGAACCAATTAAAAGGCCAATCATATTAAACCAATAATGTATCTCACAACATAGCAGTGTGTTTGGCTTTGTTCACTAGCTCTCTGGCCATCATCATCACTTTCTCTGCCCATCTGTCTTTGCAACTGTGTCTACACCTGTGACACCCTCCAAGTGATTCATCCTCAACCCTATGCCCAGAGAGAGGACAGGGCAGGGCCAAACAAGATGTGCTGAGCTGGGCAGGATAAGCCACTCTACTGGGCCAGAGGTGAGGAGAAGAACACCCTTTCTGCACAGGCTGTGCCCTGCCTGCTCAGGTGGGAAGGCACAGGAGAAAACTTCCCCCAAAGCCAGGTACAAGGTGGAAGAAACCCACTAGGACCAGGACCTAGAGCACATGTTACCTCAGACTGGGAAGGTTTCATGACTCCCTGGCCAGCCTGCAACTGGGATAAGGTCAGGAGCTCAGGGAAACAGCTATAGAACCCCTGGGTTCCCTCCAACACTAAGTGACCTAAAATCTCCTGCGACTCTTGTCTGCCTGTGTGACCTTGTAAGGAAGGGTATGGATGTCTCAGTGTGTGAAGACAGCATGTGACACTTTGTTTAGATCAGGAAGAGACAAAGTCCCGTGTTTTGTGACTATAATTGTGTATATCCCTGAGCTAAGACCCTCAGATACCATGGACATGTTTGTTGCAAGAATGCAACCTAGTAAATTATGAAATGTATCTGATTTGTGTCCATGTTTCTGGGTATGTAGTGGCTTATGACCTTAGTTAGGCTGTTTTGCTGCTGCTGCTGCTGCTGCTGCTCTCTCTCTCTGTGTGTGTGTGTGTGTGTGTGTGTGTGTGTGTGTGTGTGTGTGTGTGTGTGTGTGTTTTCTGACTTGGTATAATGGATCCTATGTGATTATGATATTTGTTTGTAACTATGTTTGTAGGTACTCAAGGGCACATTAATGATATATATGAAACACCATGATCCTGCAATGTAAATGACACAGTGCCTTTGTAACTTGGTGAAACTGTGCATGAGTAATATATAGTGTTATATAAAGTTATATGATGGCTTGTGGTTAAGTGATTTTGTGTGAGATGATAGGACTGCCATTGTGGCTTTGTTACATGTCTTTGTGACTGTGCTTGATCTTACTGTTGATAATTCCATAAAGCTGTGTGTTCATATATGGAATTGTAGCTGCTAATCTGTGAAATTGTATGCGCCCAGGCTTTCAGGAGGGTAAGGACATGTATTTGGATGTTTGAATTTGTGTGACCTGGCAGTTGTGGAAAGCACTGTAAATTACATGTGCATTTGTGACTTAGTGGACCTACTTATGAGACTGGGTAAAATGCTTGAGATGAGATGCCATGTGGCTGTGACACAGTGTAACTCATGGCACAGTGTATCTCCCACTGTGTGCTAGTTGTAGCTGTGGAAACTTGTTTGCTTGCTTGCTTGGTTTCAGTTGGGTTTTCAGTATGTAGCCCAGACTGGCTTTGAACTCACCATCCTTCTGCTTCAGCTTCCCAAGTGCTGGGCTCATAGGCATGTGCTACTGTGCCTGGTGCTCCAGGAGCTCTTGACTAGTGCTCACTCCCTTGTCCTCACACCTGATTAGAGCTTTTCATGGCCCCCTTCGCCACATAAAAGACAAGCTGCTCTTTGTTCTGGCATCCAAGACTTTGTCATTCCTCTCTAGCCCTACCTGATTTCTCTACCATCTCTGAAGCAGCCCCCACAGCCTCCTATCCAGCCACAACCACACAAATCTTGTACTCCTTCACTTGGGACATGTGGATTGTGTGTATGTGTGTGTGTGTGTGTGTGTGTCTGTGTGTGTGTGTGTGTGTGTGTGTGTGTCAGGGAGTGTCCATCATCGTTCCCCAAGCCTAAATCTTTCCTTGTAAGTGTGAGCATCATATCCTCTAGGGCCCCAAACAGGTAGGCTTAGCGGTCCTGTGCTAAGGAAGGAGAAAGTAAGAAAAGGATTCCTTTCTTTCTGAAATTGTTACTTGCTGCTTTCAAGCTGTTCTTGTACCTTGTACCTGCATTCTGGATACTGGGGGTGAGGTGGGGTGGATGTGGAAGTAGAGGAGGTAAAACAAACTGGTAAGACCCTGAGATTTTAAAAAACAAAATGTTTGCTTATGGAATACCTCTGTGAGTGTGTGCGCGCAGTGAAACTGGAACCCAGGCCTTGCAAAATGCTAAAAAGGTGTTCCATACTGAGCTAACTCCCTCGTTTCCAGTTTCATCATTTTAAGACACTTAGCTCTACAAAACTGTAGAGAAGAAAGTTCAGATATTCTCAGATATTTGCCCATTAAATGAAGATGCCAGGCATTGGTGGTGCACACCTTTAATCCCAGCACTCAGGAGGCAGAGGCAGGTGGATCTCTGTGAGTTCGAGACCAGCCTGGTCTACAAGAGCTAGTTCCAGGACAGCCTCCAAAGCCACAGAGAAACCCTGTCTCAAAAAAACCAAAAAAAAAAAAAAAAAAAAAAGAAAAAAAAAAAAAAAAAAAAAAAAAAAAAAGAAAGAAAGAAAGAAAGAAAGAAAGAAAAGAAAAAGAAATGAGACAAAGAAGACAAGAATGGTAGTTTATGCTTACAATTCTGGCACTTGTGAGGTTGAAGCAAGATTGTCATGCATTTGAGTCCAGCCTGGGCTATACAGTGAAATCCTATCTCAAAAACAAACAAAAATAAATAATTAATAGAATGAATAATGTCTGTATAAACAAGAGATCTAGGCATGTACATAAACTTTAGGGGTACTTCTACTCTCGACCTGGTTAAATTCCTGAGTTTGGTTTAAGTCCTTGATTATCTACTGACATGCATGGAGTCAATATGCTAATCCCAGAGAAGTATTATTTCTTGATGAAAATAGCCAGTCTCCACCTTGGGCTTGTTTCTCTGTCTGGGACCTGGAAGAAGGGCTTCCTGGCAAAACAGTGTGACCAGTAAAGGGCTCAGAGGAGCCTAGCCCTAGATACCTGCTAAGATATGCTACTTCCAATTCTCCCTTGGGGTAAAACCAGTCACTTCATGGCCAGTTTCTCCGTTTCTACAGGGATGCACCAGGGAAACCGGATCCTGGTTAAAAGTTTGTCCCTTGATCCTGGCCAGAATCTTGAGCCTCATCCAGAAGGCCCCCAACGGCTTCGTTCAGATCCAGGCCCTCCCACTGAAACCCCTGGCCCACGTCCTTCACCACTGAAGCGGGCACCAGGCCCAAAGCCACAGGGTAAGTGCTTCCATTAAGAGCAGAGAAATGCACCAGAGAGGTGTAAAAAAAGGAAAGGAGGAATTAATGGGTGGAAGAAGAATAGGGAAGTGCCCTTATCTCAAGGGGCAGTGAGAGATACCTATCTAATGGGCAGAAAGGTGTTGCCTGTGGCTAACATCCTACTGGGACTTCACCTCAGTCCTGCTCTGTGCCTACCTCAGGCAAAAGAAAAGAAAGCCCTGGCAGCACATGCCTGTACTCCCAGCACTCAGGAGGTTGAAATAGGATCATTGCTGTGATCAGTTAGGGCTATGTTATTAGTACCATTAGTACCAGGCAAGCAGGGCTGTATACTAAGACTGTCTCAAAAGACCAATCTAACAAATCAAAATTGGCAGGGGATATAGCTTAATGATTGGAAAAGTGTTTACCTGGCATGTCCAAGGCCATGGGCTTGATCTGTAGCACAGAAAAGAAAATTCTGGGGTTTGAAAAATGAGATATAGCCTGGCTGTGATAACCACCGCTAAATCCAGTTCAGTGACATCTCTCCTTTCTTCTCCATCCACCACTCCAGTTCCCCCAAAGCCCAGCTACTTGCAGATGCCCCGGATGCTTCCTCCACCTGAGCCGATTCCTCCACCACCATCACGCCCTCTGCCTGCAGACCCTAGAGTGGCCAAGGGTCTTGCCCCCAGAGCTGAGGCCAGCACCAGTTCTGCAGCAGTGTCATCGTTGATTGAGAAATTTGAAAGGTGAGTCTGATCCCTATAGGACCCTGTGAAGGAAGGGTGGATACGGGACAGGAAGGGATAGTTGTAGGAGAGAGAGGCCTCTTGGTCACGCTCATACCCTGCCTCCATGTGTGTCCATCACCCACCTCAGAGAGCCTGTGATTGTCGCTTCGGATAGGCCAGCCCCTGGCCCCTGCCCAGTTCCCCCAGAGCCAGCCATGTTGCCACAGCCACCCCCGCAGCCAACAGTGTCCCAGCTCCCTGAGGGTGAGGCTTCTCGCTGCCTGTTCCTGCTGGCTCCTGGGCCCCGGGATGGTGAGAAGGTACCTAACCGGGACAGCGGCATTGACAGCATCAGCTCGCCATCCAACAGTGAAGAGACCTGCTTTGTCAGTGATGACGGGCCTCCCAGCCACAGCCTGTGTCCTGGGCCCCCTGCTCTGGCTAGTATGCCGGTTGCTTTGGCCGACCCTCACCGGCCTGGCTCCCAGGAGGTTGACAGTGACCTGGAAGAGGAAGACGAGGAGGAGGAAGAGGAGGAAGAGAAGGAAAGAGACATTCCAGTGACCCCACTGGAGAGACAGGAGTCTGTGGAGGTACTGACCTATGCTACCCAAGAGGGAGGATCATGTAGAGAAAGTAAGAGCCTGGCATTTATGCTTGGTTCTTCCCCCAACCTGGTATTTCTCAAAACGAGGCATTGCTTCCATTTAGTCTGCTTAGCACCCCTGGTTTCCCAGTATGAAGCACCAGTAGCAAAACCCTGCTCCTCTCCCAAATGACTATGACCACCAAAATGGCCATGCCTCATTCTAAATGCCCCATTAGGAAGATGGTTCCACTTTCATCAGAGAACCACTAATAGATTTCAGGTTTTTCATGACCCAGTGTGTGACACTGGGGATGTCTCTTTCCTTTCCACCCCTCTCTGCAAGCCTTGTTTGTATGACAGAAACCCTCTCATGCCAGAGAGACTTCTCAACAACTGGAGGAGAGGCCCAGAGCCAGAGTTCCAATGGGGCCTGGAGCTCTTGGTGGTTAGGAACTCTTTCCATGCCCCGTCTACTTAATGTTTCTTCAGAAGGTATCCTTGCCCTCAAGTAAGGTCTCAGCCAGAACACCTGCTTTGGCAGAACCAAGCTTAAGTGTGGGGCCAGGGAGTGCTGAGATGAAACGACACTCAGCAAGTGTGTAGCCTGCAAACAAGAAAGTGAGCCGACAGGCATAATCTTAGACATTTTTACATTTCTGTGCCTTTCTCACACCCCACATACTTAGCAAGCCTTTGCTGACAGTGAACTCATTGAGTGAATAAATAGCTGATATTTAGAGACTGTAATCCGTTCTGTTTTTTATTTATAGGAAATCTTTTAGGGTTTGGGAGTGTGGCTTAGTATAGAGCATTTGCCTAGCATGCATGAGGCCCCAAGTTTAATCCCCAACATTGCAATAATTAAATTAAAATGCATGAAATTGTCTCCATTACAAATGGACATAGGCTCTATTATTATGTTTTTATAATAGGACTCTTAAATACAGAAATAAGACAACTTATGCATGCAAGTGAATGGTAGACTAGGATATGAACCCAGGAAGTTGGACTTCCTAGTTCTCACATTTAGCCACTAAACTATGTTCAGTGACTAAAGAAAGCAGATGAGTGGGTATATGGATGTCTGTATGAGGGAGTTCATGTCTTCAGAATTGAGGGGCAAGCTTTGTGACTGGGAATCAGGGATAAAGCTACAGGAAGCTTTATGTATCATATTGGGATTATCTAAGGGTGGCACTAAGGTTAGAGCATCATGTGCACTCTCTGAGGGAAGCCAGGCATGATAACATTGCCTGTAGTCCAGCTACTGGGGAAGCTGATGTAGGAGGATTACTTCAGTCCAAGAGTTTGAGGGCACATAGCAATACCTGATAAGTGAGTGGGGGAAACAAGGGAGGGAAGAAAATTGGGTTGAAGGAGCCGGGGTTAGGGTAGAGATGCTGTTTCAAGGGTCACTTCTCCTTTCCAGCTGACTGTGCAGCAGAAGGTGTTCCATATTGCCAATGAGCTCCTGCAAACCGAGAAGGCCTATGTTTCCAGGCTCCATCTCCTGGATCAGGTGAATGGCCCCTCTAGGGTCCCAGGACCTTAGGATGTGGTAGGTAGGTTCCACAGAGGAAATGTTAGGCCTGAGCCTAACTCCACCCTTAGGACCAGAATCCAGAAATGGTAATGTCTCTGGCTGACCTTGAAGCCAATTCTGATAATGTTCACAAGTTTAATCATCAATCTTCTTAACAGACAAGTACTAGTCCTGTGATTGTGACTCTGTCACTGCTCACTCTTCCCCCCATCTTGAATTTACCCCTCCTCATGGACCTCATTCTAACCCTTGACTCTCTTCTTGACCCTGCATCCACCAGAATCCCTGAGAATAGGCATCTTTTTTCCCCACTGTTCTATCCTAGCCTCCAAGACAGTGCGCACAGTAGACACCGACAAATATTTGTTAAAATAAAGGGATCTAATTCCCATTTTCTCTCTAAACCTGGATCAGCTTCTGACCTTGCTCCAGGTCCTAACTTGGCATCATTCCAGTTCCTAACTCCTAATCTTGGTGACTTGCAGTTCTCTCCATTCCCACTGTTCTCAGTCTCAAGACCACTAGTGATCTCAGAAATGCAGAGCTTCCCTTAACTGCTAGCTGCCCTTTCCCCAGCTAATCTCTAGTTTCAGTTGGACTGAGCACATCTGCCTTGGTCCACAGGTGTTCTGTGCCCGGCTGCTGGAAGAAGCTCGGAACCGCAGTTCCTTCCCCGCCGATGTTGTCCACGGCATCTTCTCTAACATCTGCTCCATCTATTGCTTCCACCAGCAATTCCTGCTGCCTGAGCTAGAGAAGCGCATGGAGGAATGGTGAGGGGCTCCAGAGCCAGCCTGCTTATTTGGGCATCAACTTGCATGCTAAGCCCAAATGTATACATAGGATTTCATTCCTGGGCTGGGGATGTAGCTTAGTGGCAGAATTCTTGTCTAGAATATGCAAGACTCTGGATTCCATTCTCAGCATCATGAAAATAAGTTCATTCTTTTTTGTGGTGTGTGGGGACGCCGTTTCTATATAGGGTTTCTCTGTGTATCATTGGCTATCCTGGACCTAGCTCTGTAGACCAGGTTGGCCTTGAACTCACAGAGATCCACCTGCCTCTGCCTCCTGAGTGCTGGGATTAAAGGCATGCATCACCACCACCACCCCATGAAAATAAGTTCATTCTTACCTGCCTTCTTTTCTGCAAAAAAGGCCCAACTTCTCCCTTCCAGGCTTTCACAATCTAATGTGGACATAGACCAGGACTTAGAATGCTATAGTTGAATATCAGAACCCTTAAGAGTATGAGAAGACTCATGAGATGGCTCAATTGGTAGAGCTGCTTAATGCTGCCAACCTGAGTTCAAGCCCTGGAACCCACATAAAGATGGAAGGAAAGAAATGACTCCACAAAGTTGTCCTTTGACTTCCACACATGCTGTGTGTGCCCACATATTCTCATATTCTCTCTCTCTCTCTCTCTCTCTCTGTCTCTCTCTCTCGGTCTCTCTCTCTCTCTCTGTCTCTCTGTCTCTGTCTCTGTCTCTCTGTCTCTCTCTGTCTCTGTCTCTCTCTTTCTCTCCAGGACAGCCAGGATTGTTGCAGAGAGAAACCCTGCCTTGAAAAACAAACAAAAAGAGCTAAAATGAACCATTCGTGGGCGCATAAAACCCAGTACTTGGGAGGCAGAGTCAGGTGGATCTCTAAGTTCAAGGCCAGCGTGGTCTACAGAGCGAGTTCTGGGAAAGCCAGGGCTACACAAAGAAACCCTGTCTTGAAAAATAAACAAACAAAAAAAGCTAAAATGAGCCATGCATGGTGGTGTAAGCCTTTAATTCCAGCACTTGAGAGATAGAGGTAGGTGGATCTCTGAGTTCAAGGCCAGACTGGTCTACAGAGTGAGTTCCAGGATAGTCAGGGCTACACAGAGAAACCCTGTCTTGAAAACCTAGCAATTAAAGACCTAAAATGGCTAGGTTCAAATTCTGCCTCTGCTACTTACTAAATTTAAGCAAGTTGCTTAAGTTCCTCATCTTTATTCATATATGTATTTTCGTGGGTGTTTTACAGTGTTAAGGACTAAACTTAAGGCCTTGTCATGCTAGGCAAGTGTTTTACCATGAGCTGTACTCAAGCCCTCCTGGTCTTTAAAATGGGGACAAAAATAATGGCCTACGTTTTAGGGTTATTTTAAGAATTAAATGTATTAATACATGTTTAGAGATTAAAAGAATTTCTGCCATGTAAATGTTTGAAGATTATGAGCTACTGCTCTTTTGTTCTGTTTTGAGACAGGGCCTCACTGTGTAGATCAGGCTGGCCTAGATCTCACAAAGATCCACCTGTCTTTGGCTCCCAGGTGTTAGGATTAAAGGTGTTTGCTACCATGCCTGGCCTGAGCTACTGGTTTTGTTGTTGTGTTGTTGTTTGGTTTTTTCGAGACAGGGTTTCTCTATAAGTTTGGAGACTATCCTGGAACTCTCTTTGAAGACCAGGCTGGCCTCGAACTCACCTGCCTCTGCCTCCCTAGTGCTGGGATTAAAGTCATGTGCCACTAACGCCCAGCTAAGCTACTGTTCTTATCAGTGCCATGGTAAAGGTGATGATGGGAGACTGGGGATGCAGACAAATGGATGAAGCCTAGCCTAGGAGTAAAAGAGTGATTTGAGGAAAAACTAAAGCGAATGGGAGAAGGGCAGGGTTTACAGACTGACTGGCCTTCAGATTCTCCTCTTCCTATGTAGTCTACAGTGTCTATACCACCTACTTGAATTGTCTTCCCAAACAACAACCAGGCCATGTCACTGCCTGCTTAAAATTGTCTCCATGTTTCCCCCACTCACAGGCTAAAGTGTGCCTCTTTTACAAAACTGTGGATGTGGAGGGCTAACAGAAAGCCTAGTTCCCACATATGCCTTACCATTCTGTGACCTGAAATCTGCTTTGTCTCTCACATCACACTGTGACCAACAGGACCTGGTTACTTCTCCTGCCTTACAAGACAGTAACAATCTCAGGGCTTGACTGGATATGGCTCAAGATTGGGCACAAATCAATGTATAAGTGTCCCTTACAATATGGCAAAAGTGGGTGTTCCGAGGTGGCATAGTGCCTGGTGCTTAAGCAGGACAGTTGGACCAGGTGTTTCCCAGGCCTATAATATAAGCAGCATTGCCAAAGAAGTAAGCCAGTTGAAAAATGGCTTTCTTCCTGAGGCTGGAGACTTGTGGGAGGATCAGCAGGACCATGTTATCCCCTGCTTCTACTCTAGGGACCGCTACCCACGAATTGGTGACATCCTTCAGAAGTTGGCACCCTTTCTCAAGATGTATGGCGAGTATGTGAAAAACTTCGACCGGGCTGTAGAGCTGGTTAACACATGGACAGAGCGTTCTACCCAGTTTAAAGTCATCATCCATGAAGTGCAGGTAAGAGCTGAAACTGGGTGAAACATGGTACAGGAGGGAAGGTCTACAGGGACATGGGGAGGTCTTTAGCCAGACCTGAGCTTGTCTGTTTCTGTCACAGAAGGAGGAAGCCTGTGGCAACCTGACCTTGCAGCACCACATGCTGGAGCCCGTGCAGCGTATCCCCCGCTATGAGCTTCTTCTCAAGGACTATCTGTTAAAGCTGCCTCATGGCTCCCCGGACAGCAAAGATGCCCAGAGTGAGTGTGTGCCCCTAGGCCCTTCCTACTTGCCCACACTGGTAGCTGTAGCCCAGACATCTGAGGCAGCTCTTCACATTTCATTCACGGGTTGCTCTTCCAATATTTGTAATTAAAATCCCAGAATAGAATCTCTAGATTGAGGGGCCTACCTTGAGGCTCTATGGTGATATGTCAGGATGAATCTCCAAGCTCATTACCCCACCTTATTACCTAGAAAGAACCCAGTTTAGAACTTCTGACTGGAACTGTATAGTCTAAGGTGCATGCCTAGTGTGATCCTCTCAGGAGGCCATGCATTTCTTAGGCTGAACTCAAGATTCATCTATGGATGAAGTGGTAATGGAGTACAAAATGAAAGGGCACTTAAATCTCCAGGGCCTGACCCTTTAGTCTCAGAGGCTAGTCTGAATCCTTCAGACCAAACCCGCCTCACTAATTCTCCGTGGGTGAGCTCCCAAGTAAAAGACCCATATAGCCAGACTTCTAATTTTTCATCCTCCAGAGGTAGCACTCCACTCATGGCCCACTGGCCAAGAATGAGCCTCCCTAAAGGGTTTCAAGCATGACCAGAAGCCTGATTTTGCCTTTCTAGTACTTATTGATCCAGACTTCGTGTCCCCATGTTTTATGCCTCTCAGGTTTGGATCTATAGGTTGAGATAAGCTCCTTCTCCTCCTCACACTGAGTCTTCACTCATTGAACAACTAGAAAAGTATTTGGTTTAGATTCCTTCCATATTCACCCCATCTGTATAGGGCAAGACCCCAGTTAGAGCTCTTGAGTCTAGCCCACTGGCTCTTCCTTAAGCTCATATTTTCATTTATTCATTATCAATGTAACAGTGAAGCGTTTGTGCACTGTTCCAGGCACTGGGACTAGGAAGCTGAGCCAAATAGATGAGGTCTTTGACTTAGGGAGCATGTATTCTAGTTGGAGAAACCCAATTCAAAATGTGACAGGTACACAGGAAAATATTTTCCAGGTGCTAAGCATGACTTGGAGAAGTAGAAAAGAATGATGCAACAGCAACTGGGCAATCTACTTTAAATGGGTGACTTCAATTGACTTCAATGCAGGGAAGATGGTTGAACCAAAACCTGAAACAAGAAAGTTGCCATGGGCCAAAGGGAGGGGAATGTTCCAGACAGCTGTAGTAGCAAAAGTAGTGTTCCCAAAGCAGGGGGAGCTGGGCAAGCTGGTATCCCAACAAGAGGGCCAGTGTGACCTGAGCATGACAAGGAAAGGCAGAACGATAGTTAGAAGAGAGTTTGGCAGAGCAAAGCTTTGGAGGCTGAGATGAAGTGATTGATTAATTGTGAGTGTAGTGGATACTTATGGATAGGTCATGGTTAGGATTAACTGAAGAGTAAAAAGAAGGAGCCAGGAAATCTATAAAAGAGGCTTTGCAATAATCTTAAGGGACAAAAGCTGACTTAGATGAAGATATGAGAAGTAACGAGAAATGGTTCCATTCAGGATGTATTCTTTTGGTAACTGGCATTGAAAAGTCCAGGATACCATAGATAATGAAGATTGGTAGAGTCAAGAATGATGGTTCTTGGGGCTAGAGAGATAGCTCTGTGGTTAAGAGTATACACTGCCTTATATAGCCAACTTCGGTTTCTAGCACCCACACCTAGGCTGCTCACTAGTTCCAAAAGGATCAGGACTGCATGGGTACTACATACACACACAATTTAAAAATAAATCATAAAACAGAATGATGGTTCTTGCTGGGTGTGGTGATGCAGCTGGGAGGCAGAGGCAGGAGGATCATGAGTTTGAGACCAACTTAGGCAGCATCATGAGAGCTGTCTGAATGACAATTCTTGAGATATGCTGTTTGGTGAGCTGCCAGTTTAGACAGATGAGTCTAGAATTCCAGGGAGGGATTTGAATGTCATTGGTCCACACTTAGTATTCAAAGCCATGGTGCAAGTGGGACTTGCCAAGGGGAGTAAAATATAAATTGAAGGGAAAATGGGAGGCTAAGCTTCAAAGCCCAGGAAGGTAGGATCAGCAAAGGAGGTGAAGAAGCAGCCCGGAAGGGAGCAGGAAAACAGAAAGTCTGCATGTCACAGGGATGGGGAGCAAACAGTTGTGTCCTGTGCTAAGCATACTTCCCAAACCCTTTGCCCAACCAGATGAGAGCACTTTGCTACCCAGCCTAGACTTCTCAATAGAGCTAGACCTCTAGAAAGTTTGGTAACTTTGGTAAGCTCTGCAAACAGATAGCTGCATACTAAGTATCATATTCTTCTCCCAAATACAAGCAAGCCATAAAACCTAAACCTCAGGGCTAGAGAGATGGCTTAGCGCTTAAGACCACTGACTGTTCTTCCAGAGTACCTGGGTTCAATTACCAGCTCCCACATGGCAGCTCACAACTGTCTGTAATTCCAAGATCTGACACACAATCATACATGCAGGCAAAACACCAGTGCACATAAAATAAAAATAAATTATTTAAAAAAACCCTAAGCCTCAAGAGAGTGCTTTCCAGCTGGGCAATGGTGGTGCAGGCCTTTAATCCCAGCACTTGGGAGGCAGAGGCAGATGTTGTGAGTTCAAAGCCAGTCTGGTCTACAGAGTGAGTTCCAGGACAGTCAGGGCTGTTACACAGAGAAACCCTGTCTCAAAAAAACAAAACAAACAAAAAACCAAAGTGCCTTCTAGGCCAGGTGGCTCATGTCTGTAATCTTAGCTACTATGGAGGCCAAAGGATGAGCATAAACTACCTGGGCTACAAGGTAAATCCAAAGCCAACCTGGGGAACTTAAAGCTTAGTAAGGAAAAAAGTAGGGGCAGGCATGTAACTTAGCAGTGGAGCACTTGACTAGCATGTGTAAGGCCCCAGGGTAAATCTCCAGGGCTTCAAATAAAAAAAAAAAACCTAAGTCCAGCTTGATGTGGTGGTATACACCTTTATTCCCAGGACTTGGGAGGCAGAGGTAGGCAGGTTTGAGGCCAGCCTGGGCTACAGAGTGAATTCCAGAATGGCAGGATTACACAGAAAAGCATTGTCTTGCAAGCAAAAACAAAAACAACCTAACACCCCCCTAGTAAAGCAAACAATACAACATAAAAGCATGTGTGTTTTCCAGCAAGCTGCCCATCTTCAGCCTCAGTTGTCTCATAACCTTTCTCACAATAAGAATGATAATGCTGCCTACCTCATAGAATCATTTTGAGACGATAAATGACATAATCGAGTTAAAACTTTAAGCACACTACCTGGCAAACATTAGTTGTTTTTTTTTCAAGACAGGGTTTCTCTGTAGCTTTGGAGCCTGTCCTGGAACTAGCTCTGTAGACCAGGGTAGCCTCGAGCTCACAGAGATCCACTTGCCTCTGCCTCCTGAGTGCTGGGATTAAATACGTGTGCCACTATCATCCGGCAACATTAGCTATTTTTGATGGCTAATGTCATCCATACTACATTAGCCACCAGGTTGAGTTTATTGACTTCAGTGTTCAAACTCACCAGAGTCTCTAGAGCAAATGTCAGTGTTCCCTATATTGACTCCAAATGTGAGCACCCTCCACTCACCACACACAAATAAGCTTTGTAGGATGGTTTTTGGAGCTGCTTTGATTGAGGACCTCTAAATGAGATCCAGCTAAGATTTGCCCACTGTGCTCCCCAGCCAAGATCCTACGCTCCCTGTCTTTTATGTCTCAAAGTAAAATCTATAAGCTGAGCCCCACTGAATCATCTTTCTGGTTCTGCTGATTGACTCACCTCCTTTTAGTTCCCAGACTAAACTCCAGAAGCTGGATTCAATTCGCAAACTGCCTGCTTCAGACTGCTGCCCTCAGCCACCTACTTACACTAAGCCTAAGACTGAACTCTAGACTGAGACCCCAGGCTGCCAAACACAGCCTAGGCACCACTAAAGCTTCTAACTTTAGACTAACATCCCCACAACAAACTCCCAGACAGAGACTGTACACATGGGATTCCCAGTAAGGTCTATCTGTTTCCTGCATGGTCTATCACTAGACAGGTTCTGACAGCAAACACAGCCTCCAGTCTGAGCCCAGCCACCTATCAGGCCTAAGTTTATGTGCCCCCAATTTGCCAGTCTTCTTGTCCCTTTGGGCTCTACTGGGGTGTAAAAGATGCAGCATATATAAGAGAAAAGGCAGCTCTCATGGCAACTGCCACCTTCCAGTTAGAAAACCACCTGGCTGAGTCTTGGTTTTGTCCTCAGCTAAATGGAGCATAGTAACACCTGTCTTCTGAAGTTCTATTTATTGAAGGAGCTAAGTTATCCCGAGCATCCTTTGGAATCCCCGAGGAAGGTAGTGGGAACTTGGCCCTGTCCTAGGAAGCTTTCTGAGATTCAGATGCAGTGAGTGGTAAGCACAGTATGACTCGTGAGGCAGAAGGAGCAAGGGCAGTGTCCTAACTCATCCTTGGAATGTAGCGAAGGCTGCTAGACTCAGTGAGCTGAATCCAGAAGACTGGCAGTTGGCCAGATGAAGCAAGACAGGACATGTTTAGGGAGGTGCATATGGAGGAAGCCATGGTGATCAATAGAAGCCAGTCACCAAGGGCTTTGAATGCTAGACAAAAGGGCTGGGTCTTTGCTGTGCTGGCACAGAGTGAAACATTGACAGATTTAAGCAGAGGGGAAGCAGTAAACTGTGTGCAAGAAAGCTCCTTCTGGCTGCCAGGGTTGAAGAAGAGTTGGAGAAAGGCCCAGCACCTGAAAGGCATATGGAGACTTGAGCTGGAGCAGTGGCCGCAGATCTGCTTGAGTACCAGAATGTGCTCATCTGAGGAAACAGGGCTTGGCTTGCCATCCATGTGGACATGTGCTTCTCCAGTCCAGGCATAAATTCTGAGTAGGGAATTCACTGTGTAGAGTGGAGGCCATGAGACTGCAGTCAGTGTAAGCAGAAGCAGGGTTTGTTTAACTTGAGGAGGCTTATGGAGATTCGTTTCAGTTTTTTCATGGTAACACACCTGGTCACGGTAGGAAATATGGAAATTACAGAAAAGAAGACAGAGATAGGGGGCCAAGAAGCCACCTGTGACCTGAGTCCCATGATGAATGTTTAGGCATACATTTTTTTAGATGTACATATTTGTAAGAATTAGATCATTTTGTAATATTCAAGTTTGTATCCTTATCTTAAAACACTCTAAACATTTCCCGTATTATTAAAAACCCTACATAAGTATCATTGGGGAAGCCTGATATTGTATTATACGAGTGTGATATAAATTATGTAACTGAGCGCCTACAGTTGGACACTTTCGTTTTAGGTTTGGTATTGCTAAAACACCACTGCAGTGAAAGTGTATTTGTGCATAGAACATATGCCTATAATCAGAATCAGGAAGACAAACAATAGAATCCTTTCCTTCTTCCCTTACTGGTGTGCTAGAAATGAATGTAGGGCTTCTAACATACAAGTGTTAGAAGTGGTCTATCACCAAGTCACATTCCTCTTAGCTCTTTGTTTTTTGCTGTTGGTGCTGCCGCCCCCTTATCTTTATCATCATCTTCATTTTCATGTGTATGTGGTGTGTGTGTGTGTGTGTGTGTGTGTGAGAGAGAGAGAGAGAGAGAGAGAGAGAGAGAGAGAGAGAGAGAGTGCCTAAGGATGACCTTGAATTTCTGATCCTACTACCTCTACCTCTACCTCCTGAGTGTGCTAGGGTTATAGGCACACACCACCACACCCAGTTTATGTGGTGCTAGCGATGAACCCCAGGGCCTTGCACATGCTAAGCAGACACTCTACCAACTGAGCTGCATCCCCAGCCCTCTTTAGTTTTAATCTTTTGTTGTTGTTGCTGCTGCTGCTGTTTTGCTTTGATTTGAGATCACCTAGGGGAATATTGGCAAGATTCTGTCTCAAAACAAACAAACAAACAAAAAAAAACAAGCAAACAAAACAAGTAAGAACTATCCGTAGTCCCAATAGCCAGAAATAACTGTCCAAACACGACCAGGTTTCCTGCCAGTGAATGGTCATAATCATTTTGCCAAGCTTACATTTTATTGGCTGCCAGCTATCCTATATTTCTGCTCCTGTGATGTTAAGTCTGGACAGTGTCTGATTTGAAGTGATGTGGCCATGAGCATCTTTTGAGGCTGGCATTTTCTGGGAAGGGGAGAGTGTAGTTAGGCCAGGAAGAGATATTCATGGAGGAGAGAAGTCCCCAGAGCTTCCTCTCTGCTCGACTCCCCATCTGATCACACTTCTCTGTGCCATAGAGTCTTTGGAGCTGATAGCCACAGCAGCAGAGCATTCTAATGCTGCCATCCGAAAAATGGTAAGTGGCCCTTCTATCCCTGCCCTTCCTTGGCCATCCTGCTATGGTAGCTCCGTTGGGGGGTGGGAGCTTGTAACTTGATGACATCTAAGGGGAAGTGTTGCCCACCCCAAACTTTACCTTGTTCTCACTGACAGGAACGAATGCACAAGCTGCTGAAGGTCTATGAGCTGCTAGGGGGTGAGGAGGACATTGTCAGTCCCACCAAAGAGCTCATAAAAGAAGGCCATATCCTTAAGTTGTCAGCAAAGAATGGGACCACTCAAGATCGATACCTCATATTAGTAAGTGTCAGGTGTGGGCTTGTGTGTGGGCATGCCCTCCCTTAATACATAGATGACCTGGAAGTCATTCAAGCATAGACCTCTAGCCAGCTGTCCGTTCTTCCCTTGTATTTTCACTATGTGAGCTAGAATATTTTATTTTTTGCTTTTATAGATTATGTAACTACAATTTAGATGTGACTTTTCCAGGTTACCCACTAGGAAGTGACTCCCATGACATTTCCTTGTAACTTCGTTGCTCTTTCCTCATTATTACTGTATCCTATTTAAAATCTTTCCTCCATTTGTTGCCTTAGATCCTTAGCAATTGTACGAGTGTGGGGAGACTCACCATCCACACTAAGCCCCTGCAAATGAATCCCAAATCTTTTCCTTCCTAGTTCAATGACCGCCTCCTTTACTGCGTGCCCAGGCTGCGGCTCCTTGGCCAGAAGTTTAGCGTGCGGGCACGCATTGATGTAGATGGCATGGAGGTGAGTGCTGTGATGTGAGAAATGGAAATTTGGGGGTGGGGCATTGGTATTGGGAAGAACATGCCTACTTTGACCCCAGTCTGCATGAGCATACATTCAGGCCCCTGTGGAGGTCTGTAGGCTTCACCATGATCCTTCCCTTCCCCATTCAGCTAAAGGAGAGCTCCAACCTCAACATGCCTCGAACCTTCCTGGTGTCAGGAAAGCAGCGCTCTCTGGAACTCCAGGCCAGGTACCTATCCTTGTCTATGCCTTCCCTCCAGCTCACTCTTTACTTCAGATATGCTGAGACATTCCAGGCCTAGAAATCTTTCCAGAGAAAGAGTGAACACCTTTCCCTAATGATATGGATGTGCTCTTCAGCTATGGGTACATGGGATCCTGAAGACTACACACTTAGATGCAGGGTGTGGGGAAAGGGTGGCACTTCTGTCAGAAAAGTATGTTGGAGAATGAACAAGCAGCGCTGAGTGGGATACTTCACCCTATCATGAATAACAGAATTGAAAATGGCTATCACCACACCTGGCTACCATTTTAAAGCTGAAGAAATTGCCCTAGATCTAGCTAGCCAAGGATCAGAGCTGAAATTGGAGCTTAGGCCACCTCAACTCAGCACAGGGGCTTCTAGCCACTGTCCATACTGCTTTCTGAGAGCCCAGGTGAAAGTGTGTAACAAGGTTGTGATCAGGGCTAGAGGGTGAATGTGTATCTTGTTACATGGCCCTTTTCTGATAGGCTACATGGAAGTGAGACGTGACTCTGGGGACTGTGTGGATGCAGAAGGGAGAAGGGAAAAGAAACATAGTAGTTGGGCCTTGAAGTTCTGGGAGACCAAGAGAACCTCCCTGTGGCCTGCAGTGGGGGAAGCAGGAAGGAGCAACACATTCTCCAAGAGAAGAAAACAGGACCATCCAGGAAAGGGGCAGCCACACAGACATGGTATCTGCCTAGAGTTAGGGGGCATTAGAATAATGCTGTGTATAGAGGAGCTCAACAAGCAGTGTTTAGTTTCCTCCTAGTCTCAACAGGATGACATGGAGATGTTACTTTGTAATCATATTTACTGTCTGTACTTAGCCCAAGTTGGCCTTGAACTCAAAATAGCCCTACTGCTTAGTCTCCCTTGTGCTCAGATGACTGGTGAGGGCCACATACCAAGTTTCTTAAAACTTTGGTTGTTTTGTTTTTCATGACAGGGTTCCTCTATATAGTCCTGGCTGTCCTAGAACTTGCATTGTAGACCAGGCTGGCCTTAAATTCACAAGAGATCCACCTGCCTCTGCCTCTGCCTCCCAAGTGCTGGGATTAAAGGGGTGTGCCACCACTGCCCAGCTCTTAAAACATGTTTAAAGGTTTGCTTACTTTCAAATGGTGTGTGTGTGTGTGTGTGTGTGTGTGTGTGTGTGTGTGTAGGGGTGTGTGCATGTGAATGGAGCTGACTCTGGAGTCTTTAGGAATCATCACCTGATGGAACTGGAGTTACAGGCAGTACTCAGGGCCTTTGCAAGAACAATACACTCTGAGCCATCTCTAGCCAACTCATTTTTTTTTTCTTGAGAAAGTGTCTTACTATGTAGGCTGGCAGGCTTGCTTATGTAAAACAGGCTGGCCTCAAACTCACAGAGATCCACTAGCCTCTGCCTCCACAGAGTACTGAGATTAAAAGTGTGCACTACCACACCTGGCTCCATTAATTCTTTTTTAAATTTATTTATTTATTATGCATACAGTGTTCTGTCTGCATGTATGCCTGCAGGCCAGAAGAGGGCACCAGATCTCATTACAGGTGGCTGTGAGCCACCATGTGGTTGTTGGGAATTGAACTCCTGTGTCCTCTGGAAGAGCAGCCAGTGCTCTTATCCACTAAGAGCCATCTCTCTGTCCCATCATTAATTATTTTTAAGTTAATTGTTGTATTTATTATTTTTAACTCTTTATGGGTGTTAGCCTCTATGTATGTGTGTCAATATGTGCATGTCTGGTGCCTGAGGAGTCCAGAAGATAGATACCCTGGAACTGGAGTTACATATGGTTGTAAAGTGGGTACAGAGAATTGAATCAGTGTCCTCTAGAAAAATAATAAGTGCTCTTAACTGCTGAGCCATCTCTCCAGCCACTTAAATAAAATTTTAATGGCTTCTATCTATAATCTCACCACTTAAGAGGCTGAGGCAGGGAGATTGCCAGAAGTTCAAGGCAAGACTGAGATACAATGCAAGACCTTGCCTGAAAAAAATGGGGGGGGTCGTTGATTTCAAATATACAAAAAAACAATAGAATATGGGTACAATTAAGAATAAGCACCCATATTCTTAGACATAGCTTAGATGATTCTCATCTTGACAACTTTTGGAATCAGCCAAGAGGTTAAAAATTACCTGGATCTCTGTGAGTTCAAGGCCAGCCTGCTCTACAGAGTGAGTTCCAGGACAGCCTCCAAAGCTACAGAGAAACCCTGTCTCAAAAAAAAAAAAAAACACAAAACAACAACAACAAAAAACTACTGATGCCTGGGTTCCATCCCCAAAGATTCTGATTTCAATGGTCTGCATGTATTCTCAACAAAGCTCCTCAGGTGATTTGATGTGTGTGTACCATAACTTAGAACCACTGATTTAAGAGCCAATAACTAGAGATAGGAGCAGAGAACTTACTTAGCATATATAAGGACCTGGGTTCCATCCCCAGAATCTCTCCCCTTTCACATACAGAAGCCAGCTATTGACATTTTACTAGATCTTTTTTGATTTGATTTTGGACTTTTCCCCCCAGGCCATCCTTGGAACTCCTGAGTTTACATGGTCTTCCTACCTTAGTCTCCTGACTAAGTGGGACTGACAGATACTAACTTCATCCTTGTACACTTTATGCATGGCCACAAATTCCACCATAATTCTTAAAAATCAAAAGCAACATGTGTGCACTGCTAAGAAATTACAAGTTGAAAAATATAAACAAGAAATCTTTATGTGAATATGGTCAGAATAAACCCCTCTCTATGCTGGGTTTACAGATATTTGCCACAATTTCTAGCAGTTGTGTAGATACTGGAGATCAAGCTCAGGTTTTCATGCTTGCACAGCAAACACTTTACCGACTGAGCCATTCCCCTAGTACCTACTGCCACATTTTATTAATGAATACTTTCCAAAAATACAGAAAAGTTGAAAGAACCCCAGTGAACATTAATAAACCCACCATTTAGTTTCTCACATATCTATCCTTTTAGCCACCCACCAATCCAGTGGCTTTCATTTGTTTATTGGTATATGTCAATTGTACATAGTACTAGGTTTCATAAAGACTTTTGGTTTTCGAGACAGGGTTTCTCTGTGTAGCTCTGGCTGTCCTGGAACTCACAGAGATCCACCTGCCTCTGCCTCTCGAGTGCTGGTATTAAAGGTGTGCACTATCACACCTGGCAAGACATTTTTCATACAAGTCTGTATATCCTGTGCTTTGAGCATACTTTCCATTCAGACTCTCCCCTTGCTTCTCACTGTCCTTCCCCCCAACTGTCTTGCTTCTACTTTGATGTCATATATACAAATGATTTTATGTATAGTAAGATATAAAGTCCACAAATGAGATAAAACACATGGTATTTTTTTTGCATCTGCCTTATTTCACTTAACATAATGATCTGTAGTTGCATCCATTTTCTGACAAATGACATAATTTTATTCCATAAAGAATAAACACTCCATAGCGTGCGCGCGCGCACACACACACACACACACACACACACACACACACACACACACACGCATGCACGCATGCACACACATTTTTTTATCTACCTGTCAATTGACACAACCCAGGGCTGATTTCATAATGGCTGTTGTGGATAGTAATACAGTAAACATAGATGGGCATGTAGTCTCTGTCGTATTCTGACTCAAATTTTTCATGTATATACATAGGTACTGGGTCAATATTTGAAGTATTACCATACTTGATTTCAACTTATACTATAGAGCCATAACTAAATAACATGGTGCTGACACAAAACAGACATGTAGATTGATGGAATAGAATATAGGACCTAGAAAACACACACAGCCATACCCAACTAATTTGGTTACTTTTTGGTTTTTGGTTTTTCGAGACAGGGTTTCTCTGTATTGTTTTGGAGGCTGTCCTGGAACTCTCTCTGTAGACCAGGCTGGTCTCCAACCCACAGAGATCCACCTGCCTCTGCCTCCCAAGTGCAGGGATTAAAGGCTGCACCACCACTGCCCGGCTTACTTTTTGGTTTTTTTTGAGACAGGGTCTATTGTAGCCCAAGACAGCCTTGAAATCCTGATCCTGTCTCTATCTTCTAAGTGCTGGGTTTACAGATGTGCCATCAAGCTTTACTTAGCCACTTGATTTTTAACAAAGATGATAAAAACATACATTGTAGAAAACACAGCTTCTTCAACAGATGGTGCAGAGAAAACTGAATATCCAATGACTTTTAAAAATGTATTTTTAATTATGTGTATGAGTGTGTATCTGTGTATGGGTTTGTGCACGTGAGTGCAATTGCCTGTAGTGATCAGAGGTACTGGATCACCTTGGAATTGGAGTTAACAGGTGGTAGGAGATACTCTGTAGATGCTAGGAACTGAACTCTGTAAGATTACATGCCCTCAACCACTGAGCCCTTTCAATTACTTTCTAAAACATTTCAAAATAAGTTGCAGGCTTTATTATACATCACACTCCTCAAGAGTTTGACACGAAGACCATTAACTAGAGGTTAGTACTTGTTTCAGTACCACCGCCACACCCTTTTCTTGGCAGATTCTTCATAGTGAAATGCACAGGAAGTTTCTGTCCCACCGCCACACCCTTTTCTTGGCAGATTCTTCATAGTGAAATGCACAGGTCTTAAGTGTACCACAGATGACCTTTGATAAACATTTGATTACAATGAACATTCATTAGGGTGTGTGTGTGTGTGTGTGTTGCAAGTGCTGGAGACCTCCCATGATAGGCAAGCACTCAGCCACTAACCTACATCCCCACATCCCTCAATATTGACTGGCATCCTAACTTTGTCATACAGTGGTCTTAATGGTGCAGCCAGATTTTCATATTAGGAAAATACATTTAATGCTTAGAATATAGATGTGGAAGGAAAATAAAAGAGTCCAGATGAAAGAGAGCAGAAAGTGAAGGGTCCTATTCCTGTTGGGTGGTTGATAAGGTTGCATCAGGGCAGAGGCCTTGGAGAACACAAGGCTGTAGAACAACCAAGGAAGAAGAGCAAAGTATGTCAAATCATGTATTGTAGCAGACACCATGCTTGGGCACTTTCCACATCATGTTAGTGATGCTCAGAACAGAGTGATAAACACCATCTTCATGGAAGAAAAAACCTGCCCTTTGCAAAGTTGACATCTTAGCAGGCACTGATATAGTTTCATGTGTGTTCCATACTCTCACATACACTTCCCTATTTTGTCTGAGACCTAGCACCTCCCTTTGGAAACCTTCCCGAGGCAGGCCTCCCTCTCCGGACTCCTCAGTCTTTGTTGCATCTAGCCTCCCACTGATCCCCATGTTGTCTCTGTGTGTCTCTTCTATTGCGCCATGAGCGCCCTGAGGGCAGGGACTTCTCTGAGGCCTAAGGTCTTAGTACTGGGATCTGGAAGACATGTTTGAATAAACAAAAATAAGCTTATGTAACTTGTCTGAGGCTACATAATCTTGAGTGAAGAAGTGAAGTCAAACCTAGGTCCTATAACTCTAAAACACCACTCCATTGCCTTTTGTTGACCTGCCTAACCCAACACCTTTCTTTTCTCCCCTACAAGGACTGAAGAAGAGAAGAAAGACTGGGTCCAGGTAACACCTAAGGCTTTGTGGTAGGGGTCTGGAAGGGTATTATTATCAGGTCTCTTAGGGGCTGTTACACTTTCCCTTAAAACTATCTAAACAGAATGGGCCTGGACACCAGGCTTCCAGCAGATGCTATTATTACCCTTTTACAGATAAGCAAGCTGAAATTCCGAGGTTAGATACAAACATTCTTTTAAAAAGCCAGCTCCTCTGAATCAGGCTTTACAAAAGGCTTGCACCTAACCAGCAGCCAGGAAGGCTGTCTGAGGTTTCCAGCTACCACTCCCATTTCCACATTTTTTAATTACCAGATGTAGACCTGGATTTGGGGAGGGATTTTCTCAGAGTCATATGAATGTGTCAGGGGCAGAGCTGGGTCTAGAACTCCAGGCTAAGGCATTAGGAAGGTGTGGTGAGGGTGGAGATATGTGTCTTATGGAGTGACCTGACCTCTCATTTCTCACACCTCTTCACCAGGCCATCAACTCCACCCTCCTGAAGCATGAACAGACCCTGGAGACCTTCAAACTGTTGAACTCAACAAACAGAGATGATGAAGATACTCCCCCTAACTCTCCAGTAAGTCTTACTCTCCCCCCAGGACTGGGATCCCTTTGAGGCACTGCGTTCCCACCTTTCCTTTTCTTTTTCTCAGAAAATAGGGAATGGAGAGGCAGTGCAGACCCCTGGGAGCAGTCTTCTGCTGGTAGGGCTGCAGAAATTGTACCCCAGAAAGTAAAATGACTAACCTCCAATAGCAGCATGGTTGGGGCAGAGCCAGACCTTCTGTATGTGTGTGCTCCCTAACCCCATGAGCAGAGACAAGGAGGGCTGGCTGGACGGGGCTGAGGAGCTGTCTCTGACCCAGGACCTAACCCTCCCCCCTAGAACGTGGATCTTGGGAAGAGGGCACCTACGCCTATCCGGGAAAAGGAAGTCACCATGTGCATGCGCTGCCAGGAGCCCTTCAATTCCATCACCAAACGCAGGCACCACTGCAAGGCCTGTGGGCATGTGAGTGTTGGGAGGCAGGGGCAGAGCTAGGGAGGGGGCAGGCTGACAGCCTAAAGGCCCACTTCTGTTTGGGTACCCTCTGAGGAGAAGGAGGCTACAAGTTGGCTGTGGTAGTTGGTACGCTATGGTAGTTGGTACACTGAAGGTAAAAGCCCAAGGCAATTAGACTGTTCTTGCCAACTTGCTGCCCCAGGTGGTTTGTGGGAAATGCTCTGAGTTCCGGGCCCGCCTCATCTATGACAACAACCGTTCCAACCGTGTATGCACTGATTGCTATGTGGCCTTGCATGGAGCACCTGGGAGCAGTCCAGCCTGTAGCCAGCATACACCCCAACGCAGGAGGTCCATCCTAGAGGTAAGAGTTCCTAACCAAAATCCCCAAAGTGTGTTCTCCAGTTACTGACCCAGTGTGGTTGAGGTCTGAACATCTCTTAGACATTAGGGTGTTGTGTGTACTCGCTAGTCAGGTGATCCAGGCTTGAGACAAGGACAATAAATATAACGGTTAAAAGAGTAATGTTTATTAAAGTACTGTGCACATTTAACACGGTAACTGACCAACCCATATTCTTATGCTTCATTTACATATGAACAAAAACTAAAGCCCAGAGAGAGTATTTGGCTAGGTTTTGTTTTATCTAAGACAAAGTCTCACTGCATAGCCTAAACTGGCTTTGAATTTCCAATTCTCCTGCCTTGGCCTACAGGATTTTCTTAAAGAACCAATTATCCTTTTATTATGGAATAGCTTAAGTAACACAACATAAAAAGACATATTCCTTTACACCCAGAAGCTCTCACTGTTAATACTGATGCTTCCTATCTTTCTAGGACAATTGGGGGTGATTGTTTTTTAAATGAATCGAAGTATCCCAAATGTAAGGGAGCTTACTCTACACCAGGACTTTAAATTGCCTTGCTTCTGCTAATTGAAATATCAGAAACAGTCTGTGCTCTTCTCACAAGTCCTGCATTTTCCTCTATTGTTAGGATTCTGGGACAGATGGTGTTAACCACCCACTCATCCCTTTCATCAGTGTTAGAAGGACTTTCTCAGAGCAGGCAATGCGTATATAATGAAAGATGAAAAAGGTTAGCTGTGAATGTCACTTAGACTGTAGAGTGCCTGGCTTTCAGAATCCCCACTGTGGTCTGCACACCCCTTCCACTAGCTGTTAAAGGCAGCAGCCATACCTAACCTTGCTTACCTAAGTGACAAAGGCTGAATCATTTCTGCTACATATGCTTTGCTACCTCTGTCTGAGAGATAGTCCATACACTATGGGGCTGTTTAAACCAGGAGCAAAGTCTTCTGTCAACATTGATGTACCCTGTGTCTCTGATCACAGAAACAGGCCTCAGTGGCTGCTGAGAACAGCGTCATCTGCAGCTTCCTGCACTACATGGAGAAGGGTGGGAAAGGATGGCACAAGGCATGGTTTGTGGTTCCTGAGAATGAACCCTTGGTGCTGTACATCTATGGAGCCCCTCAGGTGTGCATCCCACTCCTTCATGTTTTTTCAACCAGCTGACGAAACCAGGCTGCCCCTCCCCTGTATGCCGTGTCCTTTGGGGGCAGGGTGAGCCTAGCAAAGGGAAAAATCAAAACCCCCATCCTTATGTGACAGTATGTAGAGACAAGTGTTTTTGAAGACCAACATATGGAGGGAAAATGGGGGTAAGGTGGGAAGTCTAGCTTTGTGGAAAACAGGAGTAGAGACAGGTACTTTAGGTCTGACGGTGCAGATAGAGGAAATAACCAAAGACCTGAATCTATAATAGTAAATACTAGCAGTTGGTTTGGGCATGGGAGGAGACATACGTAAGCCAGCCTGCCTTCTAGTCCTAGTTTAGACTTTTCCTGTTCATTACAGTGAAGGCAAGGGTCTTCAGCAGAGGAAACAATGAAACAAAGTTATTAGACTGGGCAGAGGGCACAGTCCAGCCCCCTAATTGACACTAGC